AAAACAGATATCTATATTGTAATACTAGCTATTAATAATAACTAATAATATATAAATGTTTTATTTAATGCATATTTATTATTTATAGATACCTCATCAATTGTCATGGTTATTAGTTTGAATATCCATATTATTGATTACGTGAAAATGTGACCTTATACTAAAAAAACGATTTCTATTCATTGTATTCACAATTATATCTATTCGCGTATTATTTTCCCAATACATGCGAATATGCGGGAATTTCAATACACCCATCATTAAATGAATAGCTACGAATTCTTTCATTTCTCTTGTAAGTTTAAAATTATTTGTATTTTTTTGAACAGCGTATAAATTTGTAAAAAATGACATATTTTCAAAATCAGAATCATCGAAATATTTAGAAAAATAATATAATGGACTTTGTATTTCATCGGGACAGTCAGATTGTTCTATTTCATTTAAATGTATTTTAGGGGGTGTAAAAGGTTTTTGTACCCATTTCATGTTTTTTTTTTCGATGGTAAACCAACCTGGGACATGAACTTCCGGGAAGTCATTTACATTCTCAATATCATTGTAGTCACGCAATTCAAAGGTTTCGTTTTCATCAAAATTTTCTAAAAGTTCATCAATCTCTCCAACACTATCGGTATCACTTTCAAAATCGCTTAATTCAGAGATATTCTCATCTAATAAATCAATTATATCTGTGTGAGTAAGCTTACTCATTTAAAAAAAAAATATGTTAAAATTATTACAATAAAGTTGAATAAAAATAAAATTACCCACGTGACGACGGAAAATAACAACGAATTGAACGCCAAACTACTAATAGCAATAATAGCATTATGATTATGACGTTCACGTCGCCCGTTAGTCCGTCGCGCGGTCGTGTTGAGCCGACGAGTCCCAATGTGAATTGTAAAATTGTAATGCACATAAATAGTACCTTCTATAAACACCGTGATTTTGTACGTATAATAACGAAACCGGCGGCAAAACATCAACAAATATGTCAAGAATTGATAAAAAAATGCACAACATTTTAAATTATCACATACATTCAGCAGGGAAAAAACCTTAGATCATRTACTATGGATGGAGCCATGGCCTATCTYGCCTGTGTAAACAATTTGAAGCACATATATCTAAGGAAAAAACCATATCRAAAAATAATCAGGTTATGATTATCATATTGTTGCCCTTTTGCAGTTGAATTTAATAATGTTGGTAAAACTTATGTAAGATATTATATTTTATTCTGATTCTACGCATGATAACGAATTCATAGACATCACAATAACCTTAGATCATATAGGTACACAACTTACTGGATAGAGCTAGTCTCGCGTAGTCCGGGTTTGAAGCCAGAAGCAGACCTGTTCGGGCCCGRTGTAATTATTGCGCATGCGTCAGAAATGAAATAGATAGCGCGGGACGAGGTAGGAACTAGTAATGTGTGATTACTGATTAGGTACTGGCACAGATATAGATAATAAACTATTTAAATAACAACTTGAAGGAACAAGATGCATAATATAAAATATATATTRTAATTTAAAATAATATATTAATATAACATGGTTCTCTTGTGTTATTATTGTTCAGCTGCCCTTTTTAAAGATGGCAGACTACCGGCTCGGTGGCTTCAAATTTCCCCATTACCGATAACAACAGTTAGCAATCTAGTTTATTATCTATATATCTGTGGGTACTGGKCTTAGATCATATGGGCCAACCACTAGCCCTCTGATGTCTGTAAAAAGTAAATAGTAGGGAGGCAAAGACCTAGCTACACGGTAGCAATGATGGCCCTCTGGCCGAAACGTCGCACTCTGGACGCTTGGTTATTGAAAACCGGGGATGAGTACTACGGGAACGACGTCTGGGCCCAAGTGCMGAGTAAAACCGGTGCCGACGTCTGGGATCGGATTCGTAGTGGCAGTCATTTATATGACGAAAATGGTTGTTGATCGCATGCTGATCAGGCAAAAATTAACGGTGAGTATTCTCCCGGGAATCTAGCCACTCTGCCGGTGGGGGGAGTATATCACCTGGCGGTTGCTTAAACCATATTAAGTAGCGGGTTGGATAGTGCCGCGGCCTCACCAGTGGTTGATGATGAGAAATGACAAAATCTCGAGGTTAAACTGGTAGCGAGTGAAAAACTTCTTCCGCTCGAGGGGCGTAACAACTCCACGGACGGTGGAAGCGACACAGGCTCCTCCAGGTCTGTCTCACTTAGCGATGCCTATCGGACCACAAGGGAAGATAGGTGCCTCCGTCTGAAAGGGGACGAGCTTACGCTCACGTACCTTTCTTACGGAGTGTAGGACCTAGTCCAAACTGGAATTTCATGGTCTTAGATCATATACTATGGATGGAGCCATTTCCCGATATATTGAAGCACATATAAGCGACGAGTCTCTGACATGGATGTATGATGTGCGCATGCGTGAAGCAAACCGTCGCATATTATTTAATTGCTGACCGCTGATTGATATTTAGATAAAAATCTAAATATGCGACGGGTTTCTTCGCGCATGCGTATATCAATCATCAATGTCCGAGACTTGTCACTTATATGTGCTTCAAATTGAGTACACGGTCAAAGTGGGCAAGGCAGTGGTCAATATGGTTTAAAATAAAAATGAATGCTACACGCAGGACAGTAAATATGAAAACTATGTATTTTGTTAACCAGTGTCCAAGAAAAGTATAATTCAMCAAAGATGTAAAACGGGCCATATTTTTTTCCGATTCCCTATAGGGGGCGCACGTAATGTGGCCTACTGARGCCTTAAGTATTTTATTAGTYGAACAATTCAATTACAAGGAGCTTCAGTCAGGGCTACATAAAAAGGTCAGCGCACATCAAACCATTGGCATAACAATGAGAAAAGCGACCACCCTGGTGCCAATACACATACACACACACACATGGTAAACCATCAGTGGAGGATTGGCACAAAGAATCCAACGGACCTCAGCGATATTTATGAATTTTGTATTCAGCCCCCTGGCCCCGATCACAACATAAAAATCTTAGCCYTAAAATAATATAGGGATAATATTGAGGTTTTCACTCAAACGCACCAGCCCGATGTGCTTAATATAATAATATCCGRGTGTCAAAATCTTGGCGGCCCAGAGGGTAAACTATACTCTCTGTGTATCGCCTACAATAAGAACCCTGCACGTTGAATAATAACAACGACGACGACAACAGTAATAAATCATATATTATAGTATTCTGGTCCTGACGGTCTTTCGTCGCCGGATATTATGTTCATACTTATAAGCCTTGATTTTCCACGACGGAGACGGTTCAGGCCTGGTCAAGTTGTACGGCTGTAACAGTGTTGAATGATGTAGCATTTCTCCGAAAACGAATGTCACTGGTTCCCGTACCGAMGTGACGACCACTGCTCCTCATAGGTTTGATTTGGTACCCTGTGTATGTAAAAATGTATCGATGTTTAGTAAAAAATAATGTGGATAATGTTTATGTTGTGCGAGAGAAAATGTATGATAGTATTATCTGAATTTTATAAGTTTTCGGTTCAATACATTTTGTAGTGATGGATCCACGAAATTTGCGGGCCATAAAAAAAAACAATAAGTTTTTTAAATTGATATTCACGTTAATTAATCTTATTACAAAATATTGAGAATATTTTTGTATAATAGTATGTGCAACTTAAGCTAATACTGATTTAATACTACGAGTAAATACGAAATAGATGACAACTTTATCATGACGTAAATAAACGTGGGTTGGAAACTCCAATAGTTCCCATCTTGACTTTTATTGAGATTATAAATGTATTGTTTTCATATTTAGGTTGCTTAAATACATTGCAAAATTCAGTAGTACCTACGGGATTTATAGGTAGGTGAGTATCTGTATTTTAATCAGCCATTTTGAAACTAATTTTAATTATTGATTTATAAAGATAACTATAAACGTTTATTAATAATTTAATAGTAAGTGATATTTTTTAGAAATTATTAAGCTGTGTAATTAAAAATAATTATAAAAGCTCCAATAAATTGTATTGTTTTAATATGATAACATATTGAATATGTATTTTATTTTTATAAAGTTGTACAGATTATTCACGTTAGTAGGTTCCATTAATAATATAACGTCTACCTGGGACCCGCATTTGAAGGCGCCATAAATGTATTTAGTGAAAGTTATATTACAAGTTTCAGTAGAGCGCCCCGGGTGAAAATCATACTGCTCATCTATCAGGACTGATCAGGACTGGACTTAAAAAAGGCATTATCTGTCTAAGACTAAAGATTCGAAGGTTTTGGACAAGTGAGAAAGAATAGAAATAGAGCGGTAGTTCTTCATGTCAGAAGTATCACCAGATTTAAGAATTAGGGTTATATGGCTAATTTTCCAAATTTAAAACGCCTTCATCTAATTATTGACGAAATAGTAATCAGAGTGGAAAAGAGATAACTTGCCTTAGCTGATAAATAAAATCACCTGGGATACCATCAGGTCCAACTGATGTTATACCTCGCAGGGTGGTTAGTTTAAGCAGCACGTGTTCGGCAAAAAAATCAGCAGTGTTGGGCAAATCAAAAAAAGGAATATTAATAGTGACTCTAAGTCAGTGTCAGACTGTCAAAGCGAGTTGAAGAGTAAACCGAGCTAGAGTGAAGAGCAAACAAATCAACAGTTTCTTGATCAGTTTTCTGGAATGATTGTTTAAGTGAAGTACTTTTGGAATATTGCACTGGGAGAATGACTTTTACGAACGAAATCCCAGAATTTTTTGGGTCTACTGACTATTTTATAGTAGTTGCATGTGGTCACGTTTATCGTTTGTATTATAGCAACTTTGTAAACGATGTTATCAAATTATAATATTCATATTTATTTTACGTACCTACCTAAATCCTCGTAGAAAATAAGATGCAATATATTAAAATGCAATAAATGCGCATTGAGAATGATTAAATAAATATATTATAACAACAAAACTACTT